ACCCACATTTAATGTGCACATATACACATGCACAGATTAGGACAGGGTTCTGTACACACCCACATTTAATGTGCACATATACACATGCACAGATTAGGACAGGGTTCTGTACACACCCACATTTAATGTGCACATATACACATGCACAGATTAGGACAGGGTTCTGTACACACCCACATTTAATGTGCACATATACACATGCACAGATTAGGACAGGGTTCTGTACACACCCACATTTAATGAAATCTGAACCAGCAACAATAAGAGGGGGTTGTGTGTGGCTCAGTGGGCTAAACCTCTGTGCCTGTGATCAGAAGGTCTCCAGTTTAAGCCCAGTCCCAGTCCCAGTCTCAGCACATCCTCCAGCAAGGTCCCTAACCCCAGCTCAATAGGCACTGAAACAGGCGGCTGCCCTTCACAGCCTGGCACAAAGAAAACTGAATACACACAGGATCAGTAAAGTATCACTTTATAAAAAGGAATGATCATTTTTTAAAGCAACCAGTACTGGATGAGTAGCATCCATACTCCCATCCCTAGTGTGTCAACTGTAACAGCACATGGACAGGTGCAGTATGAACTACAGTTTGGCTTAAGTATGGCCCATCAACAGCAGAACTGAATTTCCCAAAAAATCCACAGGAGATGGAACAGAATAGGAAATGCTTGCCCTGCCGTGCTTTCTTTAGGTATTTGAGATATTGTAACATTTGAAGGTGTTACATTACTTCATCCCGGTGGCCGGAGCAAAAACCTGGGCTGTCTGGGGGTCCCCTGCATTTCACTGCATTCTTGACATTGAACTCCAGCCTTTTGTCATGCTAAAATATGAACAGTTCCATCTCTGCACAGCCTTGTTCCTCATCACCCAATAGTATGAAAGGTAGAAGCTGAACTGCACAAACTTCCTTCTGTTACACGGGAATTTACAGAGTAACTGACATATGTGCCACGTTATGTTAATTTCAGGCAGTTTGGTCTGTTAAAGTTTGGGGGGTAATGCTGTTTAATACAAAACTGAAGTACACACGAGATCCTGGCGTGTGTGCCTGGTGTGTCCAGGTTTCATGGGACATAGCCGGCGGCTCAGCGACAGGACAGGCAGGGCAGGCGATGGCCTGGGGCCCCGAGCTGGGAGGGGCCCCCCGAGGGCAGACGATTACATAGCACATTGCAACAACAAATCTGCTTTATTTGTGTATTCTGTTTTTCACGAAAGTGAAAATAAAGGTCTTGTGTTTATTACATTCTCTTTCATATTATTCATTTACACTTCACAGTAAAATAAATGTAATAAATTTTGCCATGCGGGGGAAGGGGGAGTTGGAAGCCCCTTGGAGTTTTTTTGACTACGGCCCCCAGAGTCCCTAGAATCGCATCTGGACATAATGAAGACCTGTAGGCCCTGTTTGCAAAATTTAGTGTCTGGGACAGTGTAAAGGGGTCTGTAGAATTAATATGGGTTTATGCCTTCTGAAAAATTAGAACAATGATGTTATATTATATTCAATTCAATTACGTTTTATACAGCGCGTCTTAGAAGTCACCCCAAGGCACTGTTCGTCCTCCGGGACGGTAGGTGGCGATGTGATACTTTCAAATAACATCCACCACCGAGAGCTAAACATCAGCGGAAGCAAACGGGAAGCCGTTCCGTCGTGGCCGGTCAGCACAAAGACGGGAAGGAGTAAATTCTGTGTTTTTATTAGGCATGTGACTTAATTTGTGTATTTCTGTGTGATCTGTGTAGTTTCACTTATGCGTCATTCGTGCTGCTTTAGGTACGCGCAACTCAGATGTGCAGGCGTTAGATTCACTTTTGTAGAATTTGAGAAAGTAGTCGCGAGTCTCGACGTCTTTGTATTTTTATTTACTCTGATCTTACAGTTAAATTTATAGTCGCATGATCGCAAAATATTTATTCTTCAAATTGGCCGCGCGCAAAGCCCGTTGCATCGGGTGTTGTTCAAGGTAAGAAAATGAGATGTTATCTGTCTAAACTGAATTTAACAACTAATAGATGCGACATAATCTTTTACTGTGGCAGATCTATTAAAACTCGGTTTGTCGTCACATGTTCATGTATTATTTGCTCATATGATAATTTTATTACTTTAAGTTCCAGATTGTGTGTGTGAGAACGTTATGTCGAAGAGCAGTATTAGAAACGCAGTGTTGCACCAGAAAACCAAACCCAAGAAACGTAAAAATCATAATGTAATAAATACTATGCCAGGTCAGTGTTTCCCTTACTGTTAAGTCCCCACCAGTATTTCGAAGGAGCCTTACCTCCGCCTTTCTTTGTGAATCGTGTCGTGGGTTAGGACGCTGTGCCTCAGATTGGCGGTTCAAATCCCAAAGTCAATAGAGTGGTTTCTCTGTTGGGTGGACTGTCCGATCCTGCTTTCTCCAAAATGCACGTTTGCTAAATAAATAAAATGTAAATATACTACAGAAATAACTGAGTACCTAGTCAAAGACGACTCTCCGTGTAGTGGCGGGCAGGTCTCTCTGCACCGTTTGCATGCCCTTCTGCACCACGGTCTTACACCGAATGCTTCTCTGTTTCTGCTCCGCAGTGGTGATGTCATGCATTGCTCTGGTGAAGAGGCCTGTGTCTGCCCATTTTGACCCGAGTCCAGTCAAGATGGAGAGGCGCAAAGCCCTCACCCTCACCCCACCCATCAACAAGGAGGGTCGTTCCCACGTACGTAGATTCTGTCGTGTCACATTGGGACGAAAATTCCTTGGCTTGAAGTGGCATTGGGATTGTGATTGGTGACATTTTTTTGTTTGAAAGGTAACAAATCCTTTAAGACCGCCCAAGAGGAAGCCGCCGGCAGAACCCTCATGTGGGAAAACGGAGTCTCCCCCGGCCCAGAAGGTGAGGGAATTGCCGATTTAGTTGGTCACGTTAGTTTCCTTTGAACGGGGGGGGGGGGCTGGAGCCTATCCCTGGTGACATGGGCATAATAGGCAGGGTACCCAATTTGATGGGATGCCAGTGCATTACTGGGAACACATAAGCACAGTATGAACAGTTTAGTGGTGCGAATTCACCTAAGAAAGCAGACAACACAAACTCGCCCAACAGAAGGAAAACATGTCACCGCACATGCGGAGTGGAGGTGGGATTTGGACCCTCAACTTCAGTTCAGAGCTGCTATGCTGCATAAATTATCAGTATTTTTGCAAATTTATTAATGCATTTCAGGGTTTATTCCAGAAAAGGTGCATTTAGACGAGGAATGTGTAATTAAAACAAAATGTGGTTTGGTTATTAATCTTGGTTAGTTACTGGTATTATTGTACTCTCTTGGGCAGAAACACTGGACTGAACTATCTAGCGCTTGTCAGAAGTTTGCAGAAGCCAGTTCTCTGAATGGGAAAAACAGCCGGAGTCGCCACAGGTCACCGAAATGCAAGGCTGGGACGAGCTGGTAATGTCACCTTGATGGCTGCTGATTCAACCATATGTTTACTGGGGGAAGATTAAGGATGGCCAGTCAAAAGTCCAAGTTCTTTTACAGTTGTATTGTTAATGAATTTGGCCACAAGAAGTGTTTATTTTTATCATTAGTATCAATTATTTAAAGGTGAATATTTGCTTTTTTGCACTGTATGTATTGTCTTTTTGCTCATGAATCTTGTATTCTACCTGTTGATGTGCTGCTACAATTTCCCACTTGGAATCTGTAAAGTCCATCTATCCATCCAGCCAGCCAGCCAGCCAGGTCTGGTTATATTTTGTGTATTTGCAGATGATTGTGCACATTTTTAAACTGTCAGAAGGTGGCGCACTTTGACCACATAACAAATGGCTCGAAATGTGGAGGGAAATGCAGCTTACTGAATTTCTGTATTGCATATGTATTTTTACTCATTCTTTTCTTTATGGAATAACCTATAATGGATTGCATTTATATAGTGCTTTTCTACTCCTACGAGTACTCAAAGCGCTTTACAATTTATGCCTCACATTCACCATCCACACTCACATTCACACACCAGGGGCAGAGGCTGTCATGCAAGGTGCCAACCTGCACACCGGGAGCAATTTGGGGTTCAGTGTCTTGCTCAAGGACACTTTGATGGGGTCAGGAGGAACCAGGGCTCGAACCTGCAACCCGCTGGTTTGGCACACTGTGCAATCTGCTTCTATAACATATTTCATCATAACTGAGCTTTTTCTGAGCTTGGATTCCTGCCCCGTTAAGATAATATAAACTTTATGTATCCCAAGGGGAAATTCTTGTGCATACAACAGCACTGTCCATGAAGCATGGATGAACATACAGATATCTAATGTCCATGAAGCATGGATGAACATACAGATATCTAATGTCCATGAAGCATGGATGAACATACAGATATCTATTGTCCATTTAGAGATTTAATCGTGTCTGTGAATCTCTTTGGTTGCCCATCATGTGGTGCCTGCAGTACTACCTTCATGGTGTTAGGCTGTCTTATTATGGATGTGTAGAAATTAAGAGACTCAGAGTTGTGATCTGCACCAAGAGAAGCTGCTAGCTGTGCAATCAGTCAGCAGCAATTACATCTAGATATCAGTCTGGTTAGTAATCGAAAGATTTTGAGGTATTGAAAATTAGCATCCTGAACAAGACATCAAAATTCCCAGGGACACAATACATTGGGTTTGGTTAATTGCTCTTCTGTCTGAAATTTGCCATTGCTTTGTACCAGGACTCTTGGTTTGCGGTCTGACTGTAGGTAACCTTCCCGACATGATTGTTGAGTGGAGGGATTGGTGTGTCTGTGAGAGAACGGAAGTCGGTGTGGACTTGGTCTGGCCTTCAGGTGATGCTCACACCCTTTCACAGCTTGAATGCCAGGCTAATCCTGACGGATGTCCTGAAGACCAGGTTGGGGCAGGAGTACCTGAACAGGGGCAGCCTTGGCCTGCGGACAGAGCAGCAGGAAGGGGAAGTGGTCAACTGCAAGAGCAGCATGCGCCCACAAGAACAGGTGGGCAACCTGCAAGGAGAGGCGCCCTCGATTGCCCAGAGCAGGGACTCCCCAGTCAGGGGCTGGAGAGGGGATTCCCCAGCTCCCAGAAGGTATGGAATTCTGACTTACTATTAGGGGTGGGCGATACGCTTAGAATACCGTGTTTGGTTAGAATCACGGTCCACAATATAGATTGCGATTTTTGTTTGTTTACAAACCAACCAAACTGGAATGTAGGTAGGAATTGGGGATGGCCGATCCACATAATTTCAGTTCACATCTCGATTCTGATACACAACTGCTGATACGATGCAGATTCCGATACAAGAGATCTTTTTACTTTAATATTTTAGTATAATAAATATACATAATATATTTATACATTATATATTATTAATATTTTTAAACTGGTAAATAAAGAAAAATGTATGCCTAAAAATCTTTAATTAGGCTACTAGAAACATTCATAACGTGCTGTTCCACCTTGTTTGTACATTTTGTTTTAAGGGTTTTTGAGGCATTTGCAGTTCAGCTTGAATATCTTCCACGAGAGTATACGCAAATGGCGAATGCTTAAAATGCCCCAGTTTTTATCCCACTGTGGACTTTGTTGCCATAGCAGCCCCTCTTGTACCACAAGCTGCAGCGAGTGCGGAAAACAACCCAGGCTAGCGACTCCCAAATCATCCATCGCTTTGGTCATATTACTCATGTTGTCTCACTCAGTTGTTTGCACTTTTAGTGGGATTTTTCATTAAACTACTCCCACCTCTCAAATCATTTTTACAAACTGTGTTTGCAAAGATTGCAAATTGCTATGCTACTAGTTGTTGTTAAGTGTAAAATACTTGCAGATCATCACCCTCTGATGGTCTTACGCTCCCTACTGCAAAGGGTATGCGCATGACATCACAGCAGGGGAAAGTCACTGCACTCACACCCAGTGAGTGGTAAAACTGAGTGGCAGCGTTAGCGTTCAGCTTGAAAGCAGCAAAATCACATCTAAAATGGGAAAGAGCTGTTGTGTGATTGATTGTATAAATAGCTCCTATTTTCGTGTTAAATTTATCTTTTTAGAGACTGCCAAAAACTCAATATGAAATGTATTGTTTACAAGCCAAACACATTGAAATGTACATAGTAATAATGTTAATTAACCACTTAACAAGAAATTCCATCTGTACAAGACACACTGCTTGTAGTATTATTACAGTAAACTTATGTAATATACTTTACATATAAAAGGAATTGACTCATTATAGCAAAGTTGTTTTTTAATTCTAAAGTTTCAAAAGTTTTGAGTACAAATGAACTTTTATCACTTAGGTCAGGAACTGTGCACTTCTGAACTTTACCAAAAGTAAATACCAAAAAGATAACATTGGTTGTGTTGATACTTGTTGCCACCAATTTCCAAATTACGGTGTATCCACGTTGGATTTTGCAAATCCAAACCACTTACACACAATTGAAGGAGAACCTTGTTTTTGGAACACTCTTTCTCATCAGCAATATTTTTAACAGTCTGATGATATCATTTATTTTATAGTTAGCTAATTGGTTACAACAGATCAATTAAGATCTAGTCACTAAGTTGACATCTACTGAGGCAATTGACAAAGAAGTGAGATATACAGACAGTGCTGAGATGTTATGCAGGCTGAAATTCCTTTTTCACATTGGTCTGTTTTGTTCTAGTACTGTTGTTGCAACCAGGTACAGACAGCTGGCATAGGCAGCTACCATTGCAATAGGGCTGTCACTACTGATTATATTAATAATCAAGTAATCTAATGATTAACCTGACGATTCATCAATTAAACATATGGTCAGTTTAGTCACTCCAATTCACTTAAATTTAATGTTTTTGGACAGTATAAGTAAATTGGCAGATCTGCCAAACAGGCAGCCACACACAGGGTGAACATGCAAACTACATGGATACCAAGCGGTGGAATGTGGCGATAACGCTACCCAGCTTGCCACTGTAGCACTAGGCCTGTACGATGTGCGATGTTAATATCAGCCATGGCATTTCATGCACGTGCAATTGTCACATTGCAAGGACCGTGACAGTCTGGTGGGTTCAAACCGTCAATAAATTGTGCTAAATCCTTTCCTTAATCACGGGAAACCAAACTTTGCAAGCTTTGCAGTTTTAAGTTTCTTTTCAGCCTTATCTAGTATAGGTTTAAAAAACCAGCCTAAAGTTTACTGCTGCTGCTTTTGCATGAGCACTGCAGGTTTCATCCTTTCTGTTGGACTGATTCATGGACTATGTGGCACGTTTGTGAGAAATTAAGCAAAAATTAGTGAAGAGGCGAAAGGCGAACAAGAACCGGATATGAAAAGCCGTTCGTATTCCGCTGTATGGAAATATTTAGTACTTTATAGTGACAATGATGACAAGTGATTTGTCTGCACTGCTTTTTGTCTGTTGGCAGAGCTCTATTTGACAGACTCTTGGTAGATAATAACTTTAAGGTAGATCACTCTTTATATCGACCCCCATCCTGCATGTTTCATTGATCATCTATGATTGGGTGGATTGAATAGTTAGATTTAATTATGTTTCCTTTGTCTGAATGAGATTTTCTGAATTACATATTTGTGGCAGCCTGGGTGACTCACTGGATGATGCTGTTGGATCTTTTTTCGGTGGATTAATGTCTTTAAGTTTTTGTGTGTGTGTGTGTGTGTGTGTGTGTGTGTGTGATTCTCCCAGAACGTCCCCGCCACCTTCCCTCTGCTTCCTGCGATAGGCTCCATGCTTCCTGTGACATTGGCTTCAGATTAATGGTTATGGAAGTCGGACAGATGAAATTTTGATTGGAATGATGCCCAGTGTATTTTGGATGCAGGCGTAAGCCACACATTATGGGCGTAGTTATCACCCCAACCCTAGTAACGTGGGTGAGATCCAAAGTGTGCTGACTAAGGCTTTTTAGTTTTTCCCAGTGGGATTTGGGTCTGTTTCTGGCCATTTACCTGAATGGCAACGGGAGACCCCAGTAACCCTAAACTGGTTGTTTTCTTTGACACTTTTCCCCCTCCTTTCAGGAAATGTGTTTTTAATCTGCACTTTTTATTTGTGTTGGAATGTTATCTTCACTCACTATTCCACACTTTCCATATCCATTGAAATGTCATAAGGAATTGATTTCACTGTGGAGCATTTCTCATTTGGAAGTTGCTAATAATTTATCCTCCTGAGAGCTGACACTTAAAACAGGAGGCTTTGGTTAATGAATTTCACACATGGGTTGTGGACTGTTGTGTTTTTTTCTTCTCAGAGCTGGCCACCAGGTGGCGCCAGATACCTCGTGCCCGGCAGAGGAAACCCCCCTTGGTACTTGCTCCCCCAAACTGAGAAGTCGCAGTGTGGCGCTGAGAGGTATGAGCACAGATTTCTCAAAACTGCACCTCTGGCATGTAGTTTCGATGTTCAGTACGTTTCGTACACTTGACCTCATTCCCTGTGGGGACTCCTTCCCGTGGGCACTGACTCATGAACATGCTCTCCAGGAGCACTACACAGGTACACGCACTTTCCATGTGTGCTGCACAGGTACACGCACTTTCCATGTGTGCTGCACAGGTACACGCACTTTCCATGTGTGCTGCACAGGTACTCAGGCATCACATCTGCATCGCTGCTCTCTTCCTTTTTTTTGTACAGAATATACTGTAGCTCAGAAATCTCATTTGTGTCTCTTGCCAGGTTTTTACTGTTAATGAGGATTAAAAATACTTCTGCTAAATATCTATAAAATGTTCCTTCCCTCAGATTCCCACCCAAAAGGCTTTGTGTTCCCCTCCATGAGTCATGGCTTTCCCTGTGTGTTATTTTTGAGGTTTATTGAAAATTTAGCACACAGCCTACACACTGAACCCTTTCTCTAAGGGTTTAATAAATCAGAAAGACCTGTTATTAGTGAATTGAAATGGCTGGTTATTTTCCTGGTGATATTTATTTGTGGTAAACAAACAATGGTTAAATTCATGGATCCCCTGACAGCCTGTAGCTGTGGTCTATGACACATTGCTTAGTCACAGTGATCCGAGGGGCACGCAAGGTCTTGTGTGACTTGGACCTCCGTGGTTGTGTGCATCCGGGAGGGATGTGGACACCTGCACCGGTCGACGGAGATAGGGGACCAAAACGTGGAGGCTCCTGCACTCCTGCTCGTGTTCCAGTTAAGTCCATCTCCTTCCCATCTGGCCTCGCAGGGTTGTCGGTAGAGATGTGCAAGATCTCTGTAAGGCCGCTGGACCGGCAGAGAGGTCACAGTTCGGAAGACAAGGCAGCGACGGCCCTGGAAATGGGAGAGGGAGGCGTTTTACCTGGAGGTGCCGGACGCGTGCAGTGCCATTCCAGCTGTGAAGGTTCACCATCCCAGGCTGCAGAGGTACTACCTTCCTGCTCTGGCAACACTTCTTTACAGGTGACTTCATGTGGAGGCTCACAGCTGCTCTCCGTGTTTTCAGAAAGCTGACGGAGATGATTCCCTGGGCTCCTGTACTAATGGAATCGGAGTAATAGAAGTGGGGACTCCCGGCCCGCCCCAAGAGACCAGGACACGGTGCCGGGATCCGCCGAGTGAGATCATGGACCGGAGAGATTCTGCTAAACACATCTGCCTGATGGATGATCCGGTGGCTGCTGAAGAACGGTGCCATGTCAGGGACCCGCTAGAACCTCAGGACGGAGAGAGAAGCCCCTCAGGGTCAGACCCTAGCCTCGACCCCCCCAGGAAGCCCAAATCCAGCCCCCCAGAACCTAGTGAGTGATCCTCTCCATCTCGCCTGAGCCTTTCCGAGCCTCCGGTACTGGCTTCATTTACTGTTTTCCAGTTGCTGTTTTTGCTGTCTTCATTTTCACTCACTCGTTGTTTTGAACAATTTTATTCAGAAATGGGGCCAGTTTCATTTAAATTCGCACCAGCCTTTGATGTTGGACCCTCCCTCTTCTCACTTGCACATGAGAAAGTGGAAAAGTTGACTTTGCAGTGAAGAGCTGTGGTTGCTGGGTTTTTGACTTGTTTGTTTGACTTGTCTCAGGGAGCTGGAGGAGTCTCTTTCCTGCAGAGTGGCACATAACGGTGCCTCATGTCCTTTCGGTCTTTGTTTTCTGGCCTCGTTGAATGAGGTGATTCGCTCAGGGGTGCAGCGTGAACTTCCCCGTTCTGTCCCCCGGGTGCCAGATGAGCGTCCACAGGACTGCGGTGACTAATGGGGGGGGGGGGGTCCTTTGACGGCCGTGTGCCAGTAACCGCATTCGCGTCTGGCCTCTGTCGGCTGCTCCCTGGCTTCTCAGTCTCCAGGTCAAACCTGACAAACGTGCCGCTGCCTGCTGGAAGGGCGAACCTTCTGGGTCCAAAGAGTCCAAGAGTCGCCTACGGCAGAACACCCCCCCCCCCCCAAAGGGTCAGTGAGTCAGCAGGCTTCTCGGATAATGGGAAACGGCCCAGTGGCCCGACGCCAGCGTTCAGATGCATCGTGGGCCCGGTTTTCTGGGGGCTGTTGAGCGGGAGTGACATGCATTAACCCCACTGCCTGTTAGAGTCCGAAAACCTCACAGTGATGGGGAGAGGGGCTGCTTAGGGTCCAAAAACCTCACAGTGATGGGGAGAGGGGCTGCTTAGGGTCCAAAAATGTCACAGTGATGGGGAGAGGGACTGCTTAGTGTTATTGACCTGATTGATCAGTGGGGCGTATTTGAACCGTTTCATTCCCAATGTGATCAAAACATCAGGGATTGTAAAAAATAATAATAATAATAAGGCTTTTCTATATATGTCTCCCGCAGCCCAGTGGAATACTCATCACAGATTTGGGGCTGGGAATCCTAAATGTTCGCTGGTCCTGAGTTGGAGGTATCTCCATGCAGGTGGTACCTCCGACACGGTAGACACCCTGGGATCTATGGCACAAGTCTGTCTCGTATCCCCCTGGGTGACGATTGAATTCAAATGTTTCTTTCGTGGGAGGTCGAGGAGGCTGGAGAGGAACAGGCATCTTCTGTTAATTGGTTAGCTTTTCATCCTCCCCGGTTGCTGGGTGACTGGTTGCTGGGAAACCGGTCTCGTGCTAATTTGTCAGTCACCTCAGCATCATTATTATAAGCTATCTGTGACTCGTATCTCAAACTTCTGCTGTTTCCTTAAATACAGCGTTCCTCTTTAGGCTATGACATCCTCAGCCTCTGTGGAGCCACCTCAGACTGGCCATGGGAAGGATTCCCAACTTGCAAAAATGCTAAATTTCATTTAATTAGCAAATTACATGTACGATTTGTGAGCTATCTGGAGTTGTCTTTTTCTGCATGAATGTGTTCTGAAAAGTGACCCCTCATCTGGCCGGTCGCCTCGTCTGTAGAACGGTAGGGGAAACAGGATCTTGTACATCCAAGTTCCACCGTTTTAATGTCGATCTGGTTTTTTTCATTTGGGGGTAATTAGCTTTTGCAGAAAAGAAGCAGAATTTGTTTTCCCATTCACCTCACGTGTGGCTTCAAAAATATGCTGGAGTTCATCAAGCGCGAGTTTCCGAGCGCCGAGTTCTATCTAGACTGCACTTCATGAAAGTGAATAAAAACTGGCGCTTTGTCCCTTCCGGGTCAGACGAGGCTTCTGACCAGTTAGGACAAGGACTGGGCTACTGGGTGCTTGCTGTGATATGCATGCGATGTCACAGAAGTGTTCCATAAGGGTATTGTTATTTTATAATATTTATATTGGGTTTTATCTTTCAAACAAAGCATGCAAAAAAAAATAAAAAATTTAAAACAACCAAACACAGAGTTTGCCGAAGGAAAGCCGAAGGAATGAATTACATGCCAGCATATCTCCATTTAGACATGAGATGCGGTCTGTCTGTGCACTCCAGCAAACTGAGGTAGCCCTTCAAATATCGTAGGACGGCGCGGTTTCTAGCTAGTAATTAATTAATATATGGCTCCCATACCTTATAAAATTGGTCTGACTTTCCATTAAATATCAAGTGAAATATTCTAGTGGTATAAATTGCATTAAAATGTTGTGCCTTCCTTTCATGGTTGGAGCCATAAGTGCTAATCCGTGGTATTTGGACGTATCCCATAAGGATGGAGGGGAGATTGCAACAGCTAAATGAATATCGGTTCCATGCTGCAGTGCGCTGTGTGGTTATGACTGAGGCTGATTGTAATGGATTACTGGGAGTTCTGGTTGGACACCACAGCACTGGTACTGGGTACTTCTACTCCAGGGTACTCTGCCCTATCCAGGGTGTACTCCGCCCTTCCAAGGATGGTGCTCTGGTTTGCTGCAGCCTTTACTGATGCCCGCAGCCTGAGATTTGCTTTCAAAATCAACATGGACAGATTGATGCTTGGAGGTGGGGTGACTGTGGGTCTGGATGCAGTTCATCGCCCTCCTTGCTGTAAGACAGCTCAGCTTATTGACTGTTTTCAGCAGGTAGGAGGATGAAAATGGATTGGCTCGTAACGGTCAGGCTAATATCATTGTTTTTGTCGTTGCCCGATCCCTTACAATAAAACAATGGAAATAGCTTTCACTGTATTTACTATCCATACACTGTCACATTTAAATATTCAGCTGAATTTTTTTTTTGAATATTCGGTTTTTGCACAACATATCGCTACCGACATTTTTGAAAATGCATTTTTAAGCAATGCTAGGAGAGAACTGTCTTGACTCATACCTGCCATATTTTCTGTATACTCTCTTGTGTGTTATGCATTTCTATACTAATAATTTTTTAATAATCATGAATGTTTGCTGCAGTTTCTGTGTGCGTGTGTGTGTGTATATGGAGGGAATCACAGGGTCCTGAGTGTAATGTTGTGAAGAGGGAATGAGGTTCATTTCCAAAGACCCTGAAGCCTTGCTGATGCTCGATAAGTAGTTCTGTCCTGCTCTAATCGATGGCAGAGTAGTAACACTGTGTGCTCTCCCTTTCCTCGGTCCACCTGCTCTTCTGTTTCTTATGCAGTTTACTCCCACTGCCAGTGTGACTCAGTGCACCTGCTTTATAAGGATTACTCTGCATCCCTGCTGCGCCCTCAGGGCGAGTTCTATTGCTGAGTTAAGCCCTGGTTTGCCTGCCCTGTCCACTCAGGTTTATGCAGGCTTTTCTTTTTTTGAATTTTTTTGTTTTGTTTTAGTATGTACAGACCTCATACTCAGGGCAGAAGTTTGGCAGCTCAGTTGTGCAGGTCTTTAGATGCAGAAACTCCTCGGGGTCTCCTAGGGTTTGCTGATGTGAGTGTTTCTCTTCCAGTCGTGCTGTCCAGTGATGACGAGGAAGGGAAGGACAGCAAAGAGGAGCTCCGCCTGGCTCCAGACGGTATCCCAGGCCCATCTGTCCTAGGGTCGGACCCCCAGCCCCAGGACAGCCCCAGTGCCCTGGAGCACCAGGACGGTCATGGAGAGATGAAGCTGAACATGCTGTTTAAGGGTAGCTGCCGTGGGAGGAAGGACATGTCAAAGACCCAGGTGACGTGTGGGTTTTGGGGTGGGCAGGGTAGGAACTGTAGAGCCAGTGGAGAGCAGGAACATGACAGCAGTTGTTTACTGTGCAGTGGCACATATGCAGTGGCACATATGCAGTATCGGTCAGCAGGCAGTAAAGAGATTAAGGATGTAGGTTCATAAGGCCAAACGTTTAAGCTGGTTTCATTTGCAGGAGTGCTGGTGACGTTGAGTCGAGATGAATGGGGTCGGTTGTTGGACTTTTAATTATCTGATTTTTAAGCTCCTTGACGTTATACTGTGTTTTACAGTATTTTGATGGTATTCAAAAGCAGTGCAATGCCAGTGTGTTTGAAATCTTGGCTGTGCTTCCCAACTTCAGCCAGCTTTAGGCTCTTAGCAACAACGGTGACATTTCTGAAACGCATCACACCAAAAGTACACTGATTAATGAGTAAATGGTAGTGGATTTCATCCGGCAATTGTCTCCAGTCTCCCCTACGATTGAGAAATGTACTCGGTGGGGTGTAAAGGATGGGTGGGGGGAGATTAAGGGTGTTTTTAAAAGCCGTTCGGTGGCTGCTGGTTCCGGGCTTTTCTCCTATCTGTTCCTCTTGCCGCCGCATGCACACAGGTACACTTTTAAGCCCCCGAGGGAGCTCTCAGGCCTCCTCATCCTCCTCATCCTCCTCACAGTTCCCTGGGAGCAGAGAGGTCGCTGTGTTAACCAGCTCTCACCCCCCCTTAGGTGTCTACGCTGCTGGAGCTGCCATTCTGTGAGCTACATGTGAGCGGGGTCACAGTTGAGGCTGGCGGTGACATCATGGTGAGTGGAGGGGGCGGGGCCAATTCAGTGGGGGTGGAACCAATTTACTGCAGGCAGAGGCAATTCACACCCAGGTTTCCAATATTAGAAAATAGGTCTAAGCAAGGCAGAGCAAGAAGGGGAACTTGCTGTTCGGGTTTTCGCAGAACTTGAGCCCACTTGTGTGTACTTGTGTTTCCACCCAGTCGTCCAGGTTTTTTTTGGCTGGTCCGTCATCCTTCTCTTGCTTTCTGTAGGTTTATTGTAATGAGGGACATCTGTTTTTCCACTGATCTAATGAAGCCTTGGTGATGCTGACCCTTTTTTGGGGGGGGGGGGCTGAAAGACGTGTTTGTGAAATAGGATTACTGGTTAAGCATGGCGTGTGTGTTTTTTTTATTCACTTCACTGAAAAAGTAGTAGCTTGGTTTGAATGTTATTTTACTTCATAGCAGTTGTCACGACTGCCTTCATCTGTTCAAAAATAAAGAGGGGGCTGTTTTAGTACAAATGCTGAAATCGCCAGCAACAACGTTCCCGTTATTTTTATACTGGTGGCTGGGTCGCTTTCCGTAGCTCACCTGGTTTTTCGGAACAGCTTGTTTCTGCTCAGCATTAAAAAGGAGAGAGAGACCCCTGCTGAAATTTAAGAGCTGTACATTCCGTGCCGCGATCGCTTTCCTGCTCGTAGGTCGAGGCTTTTGCCGCGCTGCCAGGGAATCGTGTCGTCGGTCGAAGGGCCACGTGGGGCCCCAGCATATTTCCAGCTGCGCTCTTCGTTCGGGACTGAAATGCGTGTGCGTGTGAGGGAGCTGCCATGCGGATGCGTGTGACAGGCGTGCTCACGCTAAACACGCTCTGAGCAGTGCGGCTAGCATTTTTCCGCGTATTCCGTAATGTCTCCGAGAAGGCTGACTGGCAGTATAAAAGAGCCGATTGACTACGATAACGTCGCGTGTTTCGCTCGTTTGTGCCCCATTAATTTCGATTCCTTCGTTTTATTCTTTTGATCAGTCACGGCCCAACTTTATATTTTTATGATGTATTGCTCTCGATGACATGGAATTTGGTGTTTGTTGTCAAGGCTGGATTAATGCATAGGCTATGCTAGGCTGTTGCCAAGGGCACTGAGAAACCAGGAGCCCCGCCTCGGGAAACAATGTGATGGTTAAACGAATTAAAATCTGGCCGCTCGTCCCCCGGGAGTCTTGCTCTGTTCGTGTTTTCTGTCAGGGTCTGGCCTTGTGCTCAGCGTCTGTTATAAGATCTACCTCTGTTTCATGGCCCTGCGGGGTCATGCAGCGGATTTTCTGTGCCGTAAAAACTCGGCAGGTGCTCTGTCTGAAACCAGCCACCCTGTAATCAGCATTTTTTAAAGTTGATGTCGAGTCTCCTTGACATGCTGTAATTGTAGCTTTTAGAGTTTTCATTTGTGAATGTAAATGTTTTTTTTTCTTTTCCTTTTATAGATCACGGATACGGGGATCACTATTCCGCTGAAAGGTAATCACTGACAGACTTTTAACCTGACTTTCTTAATGGTTCAAATCTCCTGGTCTCCACTGCAGTGTACCTTAGATTTTATGTTGTGGGTTTCCCTGGGGGCAATTGTCATGTCTCTGTTCCGCTGAATGTCCCCAGTCTCCCATGGAGGAATGCATTGTATCATTGTCTGAAAGTGCAGGCTCACTTTAAGCAGGCCGTCCGTGTCCTTAACCGCAATGCATTTAGTATGAAGGCTGCTGAAACACAAGGCATGTCTGAGTAGCTGAAATGCCAGTATTACTACTAACCGAACAGTATGAATGAACTGTCCTCCAGCTAAATCCAACAGTAACCAGCATTTTTTGTTGACTTGCTGTGATTTATAGCATTAAGGAACCATTTGAGCTGGTGGAAGGTCCCAGTGTCGTCATCCAAACTAGTGTTGTTTTTGGTTTATTAGCAGCTGGGATGAGATGCTTACACACAGATCTCACTTATTATGCTGGCTACTTAGGAAAAGTATACTCAGAAATACACAGGCACGCTCACAGAAATACACAGGCACGCTCACAGAAATACACAGGCACGCTCACAGAAATACACAGGCACGCTCACAGAAATACACAGGCACGCTCAGAAATACACAGGCACGCTCACAGAAGTAAAACTTAACCAGGCATTTCATTCACGTGTTGTTGATGATGGAATGCAGCTGTTTTTAGGTGCCGGCATGTAAAAATTGAAAATTGGCCCAGGTTAGTCAGAATGTTTTATTCTGATACCAAATAAAGACACACGATCATCATCTTTAATGGTGTGTAAGATATGACTGCCTTGTTTCCACAGTGGGTTTCTGCTGTTTGTTGTGGCATTTCGGTGCAAATCTCCTGAAAATAAACATAATTTTTTTGGTACGTAATTTAGTGGGGTTTTTTGTCAGCTTCCATGAGAAAATTGAAGGTTAATTTGACTTGATATACTGGAAAAATCATTTCGAATGGATGATTTCAGAAATAAGGACGAGGCATTATTTGTACGAAAAATTAAATGTGACATTTCTGGACAGAGAATTAGGTTGAAGTGTTTTGAGCCGGTTCTGACGCTTCTCCAGTTGATGTGCTTTACCTGCCGGTACCGACCTCGGACTCACGCTGCAGCTACTGGATTGTTTAAATAAAATGGGGGTGAGTGAGTTCTTTGGGTGGGGAAGTGGCACCTTTGAGGAATTTCACGACCGTCTCCTTTTTCTTTGCCGCCAGCCTCCTCCGGAAAGGCGGAGTGTCTGTCCGTGGCTTTGGTGCCGACCCAACTGCGCAAGTACGGCTTGTGGAACAGTAGCGTCCAGGGGAATGCGGGGGCGCTGCTCTTCCTGTGGGTGTCGGACGCTGAACTGGAGCTTCTGAAGGAGGACCTGTCAGCGCTGCAGCCGGCGGAGACTTTAGGTGGGGTTGTGGCCCAGGACCCGGGTGGTCTGGGGTTCAGTAGTGCGCTGTCACCAGTCTGAGTTATGATTAAAATACAATTGTGCTTGAATTTTTGAACCCTTCCCTGTACTGTAAAACACTTTTGATACGCTTCAGATAAATGAGCGAATGTATGGACGCGGCGTGTGGCTCAGTAGGACAGGCCGCTACGCCTGTAATCGGAAGGTTCCCAGTTCAAATCCCTGGGTCAGCAGAGTGATTTTACTGTTGGGCCCCTAACCGCCAGTTTCTTTAGGATTCTTTGATTCTGCATCCTCAAAAAATGTAGCTTTGGATAAATTTAAAGTTATGAATGGGGAAGAATCCCATGGAATTTATTTAAAAGGCACAGAGCTGTAGTTAATTGCTTCCAGAAGAAATGATCATGTTTAATTGTATAACCTATTCCCTTCGAGAGAAGGTGATCATTTCAGTGCCATTTTTGTATACCGTGTGTGTGTGTGTGTGTGTGTGTGTGTGTGTAGGCACGGCCAGCCCCTTTTTGCTGCTGACTCTGCGTCAGCCTCTGGACGGGATACACGAGGCCCTCCTGGGTTCGCTTATGGACCTCATGAGCCTCCAGAACCAGCAGCCGGAGCTGATGCAGCCCCTCTCGCTGGATGAGGGTCTGGCCCTGATCTCCAGCAGTTCCGGCGGGGACTGCAGCTTGCTCTCCGTCCTCCGGGTGGAGCCGCAGGACCAGACGGGTGCTGTCTCATCCCAGGCAGAGGCGGGACCTCAGCCTACAGCTCCGCCGGTCAGTGACCCCCATATGCCCCCCCCTCCCCCCACGTTCCCCCTGTCTTTCACACAATGGCTGTGCTTCTCTTTTCCAATAATTCCTTTAATGTGTGTTCTGTCCTTTTTTCATCCTAACTTATTGTGTCTTGAGACAATGGGTTATTGTTGCCGAGGGTAACTGCTCATCGGCGTCTTCGCTAACTTAATGCGTCTCTGGGGCCCTTTTGAGAGGCCCCAGGGATCCAGATTTGCCCCCTTGTCCTTCAGTGGCAGTTATTCATTCTGCTGCAGTAGTTCTCTCCCATTTGTGTTCCTAGGAAGAGAAACCAGGCAGGCCCAGACCCAGCTACACGCTCTGTCACCGCAGAACCAGCAAGTCGTACGCGGTGTCTATGTTCCCGAAGCCCGACTCTCCCTGGAGTCGCTACCAGCACCAGGGCCAAGCCAACAGGTGAACCAAGCTGACCCATTCGGGTTTTAACAGCACACCACGTGATCAGTCCTGTCAGCGCTGACGATTGTATTTGACTTTCCTCAGTAATTCAGTCTTAGGTGAAATGTTTAGTATTGAGTTAAAACCTAACCAAATGTTTTGTGTGTCATAATTACGGAGGACTGGGGGTGGATTGAATGGGTCATTCTCCTGTTTTTTTGTTAGGTTGATTCTGTTCCCTCCACCCCCTCGGAAAGGAGGAATCTCCGTGACTATGGAGGATCTGCAGTGCCTGGACAGTGGGGAATTCCTCAACGACGTCATCATCGACTTTTACCTCAAGTGAGGCCCGCAGAACCGACCGGGCTGCATTTTCGGGCCGGGAAGTTCCGGTCCCGTCTTTGTTACGGATACAGCTCATTACATTCCTGAGTGATGTGGCCGTCGTGCTCTTCAGGTACCTGGTTCTGGAGGTGGCCCCGAAGGAGGTGGCCCAAAGGTGCCATGTTTTCAGCAGCTTCTTCTACAAGCAGCTGACCCGCAAGGACAATGCCAGCGAGGAGTCGGCCCACAGCTCGTAAGGATCACCTCCTTAACGTGACCCGTCAGGCCTTCCAGCTTCTGTCCAAAAGACACACTTCCCAGAATGCATCTGAAATAGTCTTCCTCATTAGAGATGTAAAAATGAATCAATGTGTATATTTATTTGTGTGACAGCGTGTCTTTACACAGCCAGCGTGGCCAGTGGCACCAACTCCGGTGTAATGTGATGTCTGTCACGTTGTAGAGCCCAGCACAGGAGACACCAGCGAGTGAGAACATGGACGCGGAACGTGGACATCTTCAGCAAGGATTTCCTCTTCATACCCGTCAATCAGGAGTGAGTGGTGGCTTTGTTCTTTGCTCGTGGCACGGATAGCAGGTGCCACGTGACTCCCTGCCATCTGCCAGCCTGTTCGTTTGTTCATCTACATTCACACTTTCATAGCCGAGGGTCATGGTACCATGTGTTAAAGAAGTCTGTCCTGTGCCACCCAGGCGCAGATCCGACCCGTAGTTTCTTAAGAAGCCCTGTGTGTGTGTGTGTGTGTACGTGCGTGCGTGCGTGTGTGCGTGTGTGTGTTCAGCCTGCTCTCTGCGTTCTCAGCCGCGATCTCGCCTCTGTTGTGCTGGGCCTCATTGCCTTTCGAATAGGTTTTCCTTTCTCCAATTTCTATGATTATAATAAAAAATAAAAACCTAATTGTAATGATTCTTACAAGAAGCCGTCTGAGTCGGGGTTCAACGATTTCCACAGTGCCTAGGACCCCTCATGAGAGATGCGTATTTCTGCGGCCGGGCTGTGTTATACCACTTAAACATGCCGCATGTTAACAATCTGTGTGTTAATGCACTGTGTGTGTTTTTCTTTAGTCATGTGGGAAGTATTAGTGATGAGGGCTTCTGATTGGCCGAGTGATCGCGTGCTTTACCTTAAGTGCGGTGTCACCAATCTGCAATGCCTAATAAAACTCTGACGTCCGAAGACAAGTTAATATGAGGGCAATTACAGAGGATTTTCATTTTATTTGAATTTGGTCTTTATTGAATGGAGGGCAGCAGAGTAATCAGGGGTATGTTTTTCTTTTGAGTTCCTGGTTTTGATATGGTACAGTGCGTTCACATAAAAATGAGCGATGGATGTGCAGACCACAGTGCTACTCTTTGTGTTTAAAGCTTTGTCGTTACCGTGTTCACGTTTGGACCCTGTCTGGCTCCGCAGTGGGTATTTTTGTATCTGCTTGGGGCCCCGGCCTGTCTGCACATTTGGACGTGTTTTCTGATTGAGACCTGGGCTTCTTCAGGTCTCACTGGTACCTGGTGGTCATCTGCTTTCCTGGCCTGGAGGAGCCCCAGTCAGAGGAGTGGAGAGGCCCAGCTGTGGGGGAGGTGAGCAGGGCGGGGAGCACAAGCGAGTCCCAGGCTGAGGAGCAGGCCTCGGACCAGGAGTTGACGGATGACACTGGATCACTTTTCACAGAAAGTGGAAGAGCTCACCAAAGAAGAGTCGGGGGTAAGTTTTGAAAATAGCCCAACACTGGACAGTTTTACTGGGGAACGTTATATTTTCTATGCAAGTAATCAGAAAATATTTAAATTTTACACCAGGACAAGATTGGACCATTCCAATCATTCAGAAACCATCCATCCATCCATTCATTTAGCCATATGCTTATTGTATGGGAACACATTTATCTTTTTCTGAGGTTCTTTACCATTTTCCTGCATGCTCATCTCAACTGTTCTGGCATTATAATAAACGTGTAAGTTTTTTTCCCCAAAGTTGAAATTATAACAACGTTTTGTTTGTTTGCTAGTGTTTAGAGTGGGGATCTGGTACATTATACAAACTTCATGTGCACCCTGCCAGCTAACTGGGGCTTGTGTGTGTGCAGTCAAAAACAATCTAGGTAGCAGTAACGTGATCTCAGAAGAAAATCACCATGGGGTCTGTCTGACATTATATGGCAGTTACTAGGTCATAACACTGTGTTTATGGTTCTTATTGCTATGTCATGGAAAACATGTGTTATGGGGCAAATGAGAAAACAATAATTAGAATATAAATATCTATACCTATAAATAGTATAAATGACAGTTTAAGACATGAACATAAAGACACAAAGAAATACAGGTGATCGGNAACATAAAGACACAAAGAAATACAGGTGATCGGCCAATGGGGGGGGGGGGGGGGCGGTGGGGGGATTGTACGAATTGATATGTAAGTGAGAATGAACAATAAATGAATAGGTGTTTCAGAACTAGGACTCGGATACCTAGCACTCGGCTAAAGATGCATTTATTGCCTTTCGCATTTCCAGTCGATCCATCCAGTAATTCTAGAAATTGTAGAGGTCGGGGGGTGTGGCTGGAGTAGGTGGTGTGGGGGCTGTCTGAGGAATACATTGTTATTATTCAGACAGCATCTTTTTTTACACTAGTACAGGATTACAGGGACCCTTGGAACAAATCCAGGCAAGCAAGAGGCTGCGGACGCCCTAAATGGGGTCCCAGGGCGATCACACAATCAGTGCCGCAATCACACACTGAGGGCAATTTAGGGTCACCAATTCATCAAATCGCATGTGTTTGGATTCCTGGAGGGAACCAGAGTACCTGGAGGAAGCCTCTACAAACATGAGCCCTGCATCCGCGGGCGCGCTCTGCCCGTTAAGGCGAGGTGTGGGCTCAGCCGGGCCTGCCGCTTGTCTATGTTTCCCTGTCCGGGGTTTTCGGAGGGGTGGAGCGAGGCATTAGCTAATGAGCAGACCTGGAGTACGCCGCCCCGGACGGCTGCTCTACAAGGCCGCTTAACACCAGCCTGTGTTTAATCGAACGCGTTGGTTCGGGCTTCTGAGGCCCCCGCCTGTTATATGTCCGCTTTGTCTTTGCATGAGGAGCTGTGACAAGTTCGCTGTGGTGTTGCTAGGCGTAACATGCGAAGTGTGTAGCTGGGGAGGATCATGTTGACACCCCCCCCCCCCCCATATTCCCTGCAGGTGGCATGGAGGAGGCCGGGAGAATGTCACTGCTGACGCCGGTATGACTCCGACACAAACATTTCTAAACATTTACAGTTGTGCACTTTGTGGCCAACGGATGACTCACATCGCTTTCTGCTTTGTGCCCCCCCCCCCCACCACCCCCCCACAGAAGTGTACACAGCTTGGCTGTCAAAGGGACACCATCTGTAAAAGGTAAAGAATTGAAAATCCATACCATATTTGCTCCTCTGTATGGCAGGGTACTGTTTGTGCTGTATCAAGGCTATACACTTCTATCAATAACAAAGCTGTGTCGAGGCTTCATGCTAAAATAGTTGAGGTATGTATTCTACGTCAAGGCTGCACCCACAGTACACACTTTATACATGATGCATGCATTACACTCATTTTTAAAGATTATAGATTTAATGGCAGTCAGCTGGTTGGCTGCTGTTATAATACTGATTGACTCTTTGACACGGTGAGCTTGACTGACTAGGACATGAACTCCTTCCCCTGCAGACCCTGCATCCTACTCATGGACTCCCTGAAGCGACACTCCCACGAGCGTGTTCTCAAATTCTTACGGGAGTGAGTATCCCCCTTGGCTGCTCACCTTGGCTGCTCACCTTGGCTGCTCACCTTGGCTGCTCACCTTGGCTGCTCACCTTGGCTGCTCCCTTGGCTTCTTCACAGTGTTGGATGTTTGTGGTGAAGCTTGGACACACCTACCCATTGAAATGTTACTTTGTACTATTTTCTACATTTTTTTAGTCACTATAAAGACATCAAAACCATAAAATAATATATTTGGAATTATGTACTGACAAAAATGGTTAACAGAGTGCTCCCACCACTGGGCCCTTGAGCAAGGCCCCCCACCCCCTACTGCCCCAGGTTTCATGAGGTGGCCTCCTGGGATGCTCCTCCAGCCGTCCTGAAGGAGCTCCCACATATTCTGAGCTCTCATCGGCTGCTTTTCCTTTACTCTCTGATTAGACTCCACCAAAACCATTTCTACTGTGTTTGTGTCGGGTGATGCCGCACTGTCACTCTCCTTTTGTAAGTGGCTTGGCGTGTCCAAACTTTTCACTGGCACTGTATGTGGGGGTCTGGATGTGTAGTGACCGCCAACCTCCCTGCTCTCTCAGGTACCTGGAGGTGGAGTGGGAGGTGCGCAGAGGTACCCCCCGCGCGTTTACTCCGGAGACTATGCCGGGCTTTAGCTGCCTGGTCCCACTGCAGGACAACAGCAGTGACTGTGGTCTCTACCTGCTGCAGTACGCAGAAAGTTTTTTGGAGGTGAGGATTCACTGATTCCTGCCTCATTCGCATTTCGGATTTCAGTTTTGTCATTAAATCGGACAGTACAACGAGTTTGGGATACTAGCTCCCTGAGTATTGCAGTAACAATAAGTAACAATATGTAGAAAATATGACAAGGTCATTAAATATGTGTGTAATACAGATGGATAGGTAGGGTGTGGTGGTGCCTTAGTGAGAGTCCCTTAGTGTGTGCTTCAGCCTGGTCACTGCATTGAGGTAAAATCTGTCCTTATGTCTGGTGGTGTGGGGGCTGACTGCCCTGTACCGCGTACCAGATAGCAACAGGTTAAACAAATAGTGGCCAAGGTACGACGCGTCGCCGAGGACGTTTGTGACTCTAAGACACGAGAGAGAGCTGTCTTGCAGGGAAGCCAGTGTAATGACTGAGAGCTCTGAACAGAAATTCAGTTTTTTCAGCGAGTTTAGTGGAGCATTATGTTGAATTTCCTCTCATACAGAAATTTTATATATACGTTAATTTTATGTGATCTTTTTCTATACCTTCCACTTACCCCGCTATCTGCCCCCCCCCCCCCCCAGAACCCAGTTGTGCACTTTCAACCACCGTTCCTCCTAGAGACGTGGTTTCCACGGCAAAAAGTGCGCAGGAAACGGGAGGAGATCAGGAACGTGGTGCTCTGGTTGTTCAGGAAGCAGCGGGAACAGCGGGAACAGCGGGAGCAGCGGGAGCAGCGGGAGCAGGGCAGCGTCAGCGCAGGTGGCCGGGGCAGGTGAAGGCCTGGTCCTGCGGGTGGGACGGGCAGGCGAAGGCCCGGTCCTGCGGGTGGGACGGGCAGGCGAAGGCCCGGTCCTGCGGGTGGGACGGGCAGGCGAAGGCCCGGTCCTGCGGGCGGGAGGGGCAGGTGAAGGCCCGGTCCTGCCGGTGGGACGGGCAGGTGAAGGCCCGGTCCTGCTGGTGGGACGGGCAGGTGAAGGCCTGGTCCTGCCGGTGGGAGGGGCTTGCAGATGATGACTAGGACTATAAATCCCCACACTACCCCCACCACCACGCCCGCCTGGACTTTGAGCCATCTGTGACCTTTGTGTATTGACAAATACAAATATAGACTCATTTTTATTTTTAATAGATTTTATTTTTTTACTTTTTTATTTTTATTTTTTTATTTTAAGTGTAATGTTAGATTATTATCAAAATATATTAATTTCTTTGTACTTTTCATTAAAAGCTATTTCGTATTGGTGGTGCACATTCATTGCAGTTGTTTTATTGTTTACACATAGGACAAAAATATGGATTTGATGCACCATAGTGATGTCCAGAGATGTCCATAATCTACTTGATTTTCCAATCAGGTCGAAATCAATGTTGATATCAATGTCATTTGTTTACCGTTTAATACTCAGTGGTATTACTTTAAATGATTACTTAAGTTTTGTTCCTGCTAATCCTTGCAGCTGTGAGGTTGAACCCTCTGTGGGTAGGGTGTCAGGACTGAGAGCAGGCGAGTAGGGACATGCGGGAGGTAGTTTGACCATGATGCCAGCCGGCATTGTCTGTGTGGTGCTGTGCTCACGACCTCTTTCTGCTCAGCTTCGATTGATGATCTGCTGCTGCAGTATGTAGTGAGACTGACTGCCTTTTATGTGTTTTACAGAAACATTTGTGTATACTTTAAGTAATGAGAGATTATTGGTGAAGCTCCAAAAGCTACATGATTTGCTTTGGTGCACCCCGGTGGTTTCTAGTTTTTATTTTTAAGGGAACGAAGTGCAATTACAATAAGCTAGCTGGAGTGGAGTGTGGTTTAGCCAGGCCTTCAGAAAGTGCCACTTCGACAGCTCTCCTTCCTACACCATTATCCCATCTGTCTGTTTGTACTTGTCGTGTGTTAGCTTTAAGTAATTTCACTGTACAAAGTTGTTTTTTTTTTTAAGTTAAAGTCTGCTAACTTAGCTTCGATATACACTTTGAGACCAAATAATGAAATTATGAGATTGCATTGGATACACACTTTGGAGATGGATGATAAAAAAAAATAAAGTTGTTTTTAAAGCTGTTTGCTTATTGATTGATATCTACTGTGAGAGGAATTTCAACAGCAGGAAAGGTGGGTTTTCGCTGGGTTTGATAACACTAATGACAGATAATTCCTGGTTGAATTTCATGCTAAAGAGTGAGATAGAATTCTGTCTTTGTGAAAGATGTGTAAAATGCTCTTTTGTTTTTTTTATTTTTTTATAGGTTATTTTTAGAGAAATTGGCGAACAGTACAGTCTATAAAGGAGAACGAGAAAGTGTCTGTGTTCCTGATCCAAAGCGAGTAGCCGCAGTTTTGGGTGGGTCAGGTTTAGTATGATCTAAGGACCTGTCCTTTGAGGAAATGCTGCTGTATGATCCGCAGTCGTCTCTGATTTTACGCTCTTGAACTCGTTGCACCAGTTTAGATATTTTATAGTCACAAGGCTGTTTCCTGTTTCTTTTAGAACCTCTTTTCCAGAACAGTAACTGGCATCCTTTCCAAAAAACCCTGCTATCAGAATGACTTTTCTCTCTGGGTATGTATATAAATTCCAGGGAGAATGTAATAAATGCAGATTCTTTTGAAATTTCGATATCAGTGTCAGCCATGTATGGGTATTGCTGAATTGGTACTTTTAAAAAGCATCCCTTCAGTAATGAGTGTACAGTGTATTCATGTTTTCTGTATGAATCCCTGTACTTTGAAAGGGTAGAATACTCCATTTAGACAATTGGCCGCCATGATTCAGCAGGAAATGAAACCAAAATAAAATAAATTTTATTACCTTACTACGACAAAATGTTACAGCCATATCAAGCCTTGGTAACTTATGCATGTATGAAAGTCCCCTTTTCATGTGCATTGCATAAGTATAAAAATACCGTCCATCCATTTTCTATACCTGCTTGTCCTATGCATGGTCAAAGGGTTCTGCAGCCTAACCCAAGGTGGGGAATAACCCAGGATGAAGCGCCAACCCATTGCAGGGCACATTTACTATTCACAAGGATGGACAATTTGGCAACTCCCAATTCACCTTTTGGACTATGAGGGGAAACTGGAGAACCCAGAGGAAACCCTTCTATGACACTGGGAGAACATAATCTACATAATCCACCCCTAGGCAGCTACTCAAACCCTGGTCTCCAGAGGAAACTGCTAGCCACTGGGCAGCCCCCAATAAAAATATCTTGCTGCACAAATGTGAACAATGTAAGAGGCTGTGAGAGAGGTTTACTTTGGATGAAAGGCTCTGCCAGACTAATATCACAATAATTCTTGGCACAAATCTGAGGTGTGTGTGTGCTGTGATCTCACACCGTGGACAGATAGGATAGAGCAATGAGCTTTACCTGGTTTAAATATAAGATTAGACTGTGGGGTGATCTCTCTCTAAGGGCAGGGTAAGTGAATGAAGCTGTAATACTTCAAACATTTAAGATCAGACTCCCAGATCCCTCACTTGGTGTCGGGTCGACAGACGACCCAACTCTGTGCAGCTATGAAGATCCTAGCGGTTAACATTTGTGTTAAAGGTCTGGGAGATGGGGCAGTTTTCTAATTGGATTGGGAATGACCGTTTTCCTAGTTCCTCTGAAATATAGCGTGTAGAGTGTAGCAGACATGAATTTCTACGTGATTAGAAATCCATAAAGATGATTAACACTCATTACCCACAAGCAATGTGTGTCCGTAAGGACATTGTGTACCCCTGAGTCCGGTGGGACTTGTGACTGGCCTTCAGGGGAACAGAGGATTGAATCTCATGGGAAGTGGCTTCTTCATGTTGGGAAGTGATGTTTATCACAAAAGGAAAGAGGCGATGTGTGTTTCCATGGCCTCAGTTAGGAATCAAGTGGTTGGAAACTCCAAACAAATGACAAATGCTGATTTCCAGTTCCCATTTTTAGTCAAGAAACCAAGAGTTGCAGTTCAGCTTTTCTCTTTACCACTTGAGCTGTGCTGATTTTAGTGTTGGCTTAGACATGCTGTGTATCTGCTTCATGCTGTGAAACTAAAATCGAAACCATATCCAATGAGAATGTATACAGTATGACTTTCCTGTTCTGCTTAGTGTTTCCAAGGGGTGTCACTAGGGTTGTTTTAGGGGGATTTTAGCCTCCCGCAAACAAATAAATGCTAATTGATTTAATCAGTGTGTTCTCATCCATTTTCATTAAAATCAGACTCCCTAATAAAGGTTTAACCTCCCTTTTCATAAATCAGCAACAGCGCCCCTGGCAGGTCTCTAAGGGGAATCGACGCTAAGAGAAACCCTGCATTGAGTAACCCTAATTCTGACATATTATGGTGGCCTGGCTAATCTGATCTTCAGTCTGACTGTGAGATTAGACAGATTTGCTACTTCTGACAAAGCCGGGATCTAACCTCTGTCAATCTTCTGCTAATCCCCCCTTACTCATCCAGGCAGGCCATGGTGTATCCCTTTAGTAAACCTGGAATAAGCGAAGACCCTCAACATTAGAGGACATACCTGCGTAGCCTTAACAGACATGTGATATTGTAATATTCACTACCAGCATTGGGCCCGAATGATGAGTAGAGGTCACATGACACCTGAACGACACTTTGCATGCTCTTCACTGACTATGCATTGTACAGAATTCATTAATGACATTAAGTGGCTTAAATAAGTCACTTTAGACTAAACAGCTCTTTGGGAATTGAAGATGCTGGCTCTGCCGGCTGCCTTGATCCATTGCATCTCTGGACAATGAGACTTTTGAATCTGATGGAGCAAAAAGTAAATCCTGGTGACACAAGCAGTCTGGTTAAAATAGTCTGTTGATGATGACAGAATGTTCCGGAGGGATGCTGTCTGTATGATTCTCCACATCTATTAATTGTCATAACTTAGTGTATGATAAGCATTGTCTGTTAGGTATTGGCAAATGTGACTTTTGCACATCATCATTATGCCTGTTAAGTTGGCAGGTTGATACCTTGTTGCTGTTTTGATTATTATTTGGGATGTTTTGTATGGGCGTGTGCATTTCAGGAAATAATATCATCTTGCACATACTAATGAAATTAATTTCCACTCATCTGTGGTTGTAAATTTTAGTGAAAATGTGTGCACTCCTTCCACAGACCTGTGTCTAGGTCTATCCTGTGTCTAGGTCTATCCTGTGTCTAGGTCTATCCTGTGCCTCTATCTTTTCCTATTTATTGTTAATATTTTGTAGGAGTTAGTGACAATGGTCTTGGTTTTTTATTTCTTGTAGAATACTATGAAGTTAATTTATAATTGTGTTTTGCATCTGCATTAATCAAACTCTTTTTTTACACAGTATCAACCTGGTCCCCAAAGCTGGATGAATAGATTGCATGGATAATATAAAATTTACAACAGCTGCCAGAACATTCATACCCAGGTGCTTTATAGCTGGGGGAGAGATTTCTTTTTGGGGGATTAGGAACATGGATGACTTAGAGTTCTTCCTTTTTGTCACAATAGATTTTCAGTGTCGATAAAACAAGTGATTTAAGGAAGGAAATTGCTATCCATTGAAACAGGAGCCTTACATCTGAATGTGCTGAATAAATTTTAGCCTTTTTTTCCTCATGATGAATGATGGTCTTCAGAAATGCCACCATACCTATCAAACAGTAGCCTATCCCTTTCTTATGCAAGCTACAAAAGTCTGTTTCTAATTAAATAAAAAGCTATGAAGTATATAAATAAATATGCCCTTCTTAACTGAATGTTTCTATCTTAAGATGTATGAAATGTTTCGGTTAGAAAAGACATTTAAATAAACTATGACAGAGTAATACAGTACACGACAATAAATCTTACTCCACAGTGAAATATAACTTGCCAAGTTTTCCAAAGCAAACCCTGATGTAGTTGTAACAAACTACACATTTGGATTACAGTAATAGTATGAAGATAGAGATAAAATCCAGGAGTTGTAAAACAAAAACATTGTTTAACAAAGGCAAGCAGTATGCTGCACTGTAATCTATGTAGTGCATTGTAAGTACTTTTTTTTTTTTTTTTTTTTTTACTGATAATTAGGGTGAGTTTTGTTAAAATGGGAGACTTTCTGAAAATTAGCTTTCTGGAAAAATCTTGATGAACTTGATACCATTCTAAATACATTAATGCCCCTCGAACACTTTATAGAAGGGAAAGTAAAGTATTACTAAACGTATATTAATTGCAAATTTTAGCTGCCCCATTTTACCAGGTGTTCCATTTTCATAACACTCACCCCATGTGACTGGGGAGTAGATTCTGTTAACACCTGCAGGATATCCAGCCTCTATCCGCTTTGGCCATTTTTAACAACCTGCTCATAATGTCAGTGGCCTATAAGGACGCCGAATTAGTGTAGCTAAAGTTACTGTACATTTGTGTTAAATATCACAATTAATAAAGTGCTGTGTTTGCAGGGTGATTCCATCTGAGGAGCATTTCCTGCATCTGAGCTGCTTTAATGGGTTTAGCAAAGAGGATTAGAGTGAGAGAGAGAGAGAGAGAGAGAGAGAGAGAGAAAATATTGGGCCCATCTGCCCACCTGAGCTGGGAGCTGTCCTCAGCACCATCACAGCCACCGTCCAGTTATTCAGGAGTATCTCCTCTGGAGTACAATTAATAGCGGTGTTACCAAATACTCCGGGCTATGAGATCCAGATCTACTGGACCAATTCACATGGTTATTTATCATCTAACAAGTAACTGAACGCACATCACTGTTAAAGAAATACTTGAAAATCCCGCTGCAGGAAAATGGATTTTACGCTCAAATGCTCTTTTTGCGTTCTTGCTTTGTTTTTTATGGCTGGGCACTTACATACAGGTATGTATTTACAAGTGCGGTGACGTGTTTGATTTGCTTTGCACTGGTACTTTTTATAATGTGTTTTCCTGACTTTTTCAGGTTTTGCCCATGCCTTCTCCCAAGATGACGAACTTCTACCGAAACGAAGCGGTAGAATAACAGAGATCGTGAACAGTCGGCTGAGTTCTCGGAAAAGTGTCCAAACGCTGCTTCACAGAGGCGGCGTTTCCAGGCAAAAGCGCGACGCAATGTTTCCTGGTGGAGTTAAACTCTGTGTGCAGGAGAGTCTGCGGCAAGCTGTTGAAAACCATCTGCATTATTTTCGTCTGCGAGGTAAAGCTACTGTTCTGACATTTAGGCGACCTAATAATGGCCCGTGTGAAACGATCGCTCCACATCATCATATCATACGGTTTCCAACCAACAAAATAAGTTAATTTTGCATTGTAGCATTTCAATCACATACTGTAGGCTCACATAAAAGGTACAGTTCATTGCTGTATCCTAAGGCCTTATTAAATTATGCTAAAAAAATGAATGAACGCAATTTTATTCCAGTTTTACAACATTTAAGTTATTGAAGTTCAAAATTTGTGTCACAGCTGTAGGTGCAGGAATTGCATTTACACAGGTTCAGCCCTAAACTCCTGATAATCAACCGCAGTATTAGATGATCTCCTATGACCCTATCATGGATAAGATGTATGGGTGATGTAGGCATGGATGGATGGACACACAATAGTAAAGAAGAAGAAAATGGTGGAGTGCTTGGACCCCTAAATACTGAGAATTAAATATATGCTGGAGTCTGGGGCCCCAGGCTTTTACTGCCTGTTGGCAGGGGGATCCGCGGATTCCGGAACCCGGAAAGCAGAGGCACCATGTGCTGCTATCAGACACACGGATTCACGTTTATACTTTAAAAGGGCTTGTTCCTCCTGCGACGGAGGAGCCCAGGCCTGTCGGCTGAGCACTGCAGCCAACATAGAGAATTAATCTTTGTTTAATCACACCTTAAAATGCCGTCTGCTCCATTATGTAATCTGGCCTCCTTTGAGTTTAAACTCCTCTCCGCTGAATACGCTCTGCTACAGCTGGTGTCCTTTTCCAGTGATGTACATTCAGCGATGCAACAGTAGTAGACTAGCTGACAATGACATTTTAGCTAGGGAATTGTTCCTATTTGGAGAATATATCACACTAATTACCTTAATAGAAAATGCAAAAATTTGTTTCAATGTAAAATGTTCACTCACTGTGCAGGGAAACCTGTAATGCTGACTTTCTCAACTTAGCCCTCGGAGATCTGGTGCAGTCCAAACGTTTGCTGCTTTGTAGCACACCTGAAACAAACAGTCAAGCAATCAAGAATGCTGAATGCCTGGTGCAGGTGTGCTGGAAGCTGGGGAGGGGGACAAAAATGTGGATTGGGGGTCCCAACGGACCGGGTTGGAAAACACTGCTATGTTTCTTTAAAAATGAATGTTACTGTCTTTATTAACAGCCTCTATCGGTTTAATCCTAGCAGCGGCACAGACAGGGAAGCCAACAATTCACACGACACTCAGGAATACACGCTAAAGACACGCATAGACAGGGAAGCCAACAATTCACACGACACTCAGGGATACACGCTAAACACACGCATAGACAGGGAAGCCAACAATTCACACGACACTCAGGGATACACGCTAAACACACGCATAGACGGGGAAGCCAACAATTTACACGACACTCAGGGAAACATGATAAACACACGCATTCCCTGGCTGCCAGATCTCATGCATCTGGTGTGACACTAAATTTTCAGGCTCTTACGCTGAAATCTTACGGCAAATCTGTATTAAGTCAAAACACTCGTTACAAAATACCATTTTTGGCACAATCTATTCCCTTTTTTGTCTAGACCCCAAATATAAGATGACACCACTTTTTCTGAAGTCTTTTGAGGGAAAAAAAAGCATGTTTCGGCCAACACGGTAAGTTTGTAATGATAAATAATATAGATATCACCACTTCATAAGCTATTACCCCTGAAGATGTGTTAAAGATTCAAAACAAAGATATAGAAAAATTGGCCAAACAAATATAAAGGCCTTATTGTTTGGAAAACATGTTTGGAGAAGTCGCGTGTAGGCTGATGCTCCATCTGCACAACATTTCTACTGGTAAGTTCTCCTGGCAGAAGAGTGGATGAGTTGACTGCTCTTTCTCCGATTATGTTCCAGTGTGCCAGGAGACCGTGTGGGAGGCCTTTAAGATCTTTTGGGACCGCCTGCCAGAGCAGAGTGAATACAACCTCTGGATAAGCATCTGCCTGGAAGGGACTCTCAGCACGTTTGATATTGGTGCCAACTTCAGTGAGTCAGAAGAGCATATATCCCTGGTGCAAAGGGTGAGTAGAGGGGTATGTCTGAGCTGATGCACGCAGCTGAAGATGTGACACGCCAAATTACCGTAAAGCTTGGATTAAAGTAATCAAACTTTGTTTGAGAAACAATGACGTACGACACAGTTTCAGTTACAAGTGAGGATTATAAGTCATTTCCTGCTAATGCTATAATGTCCCTTACTAGTTGGATATCGCTTGATTTTAAGGCATCGCTCCTCTTTTTCAGAGAATATCAATGAATGCAACATTTAGGTAAGATTTCTGCTTGTATTTACTATGCTGCTTGCTTGGTAAGAACACTGGGCAAATTCGTGGTCCTCAGGCCTAAGCAACATATGTAGCCTGTTAGGAAGACTGAATAGCCTGTTATGAAAACTGAATAGCCTGTTATGAAGACTGAATCGCCTGTTATGAAGACTGAATAGCCTGTTATGAAAACTGAATAGCCTGTTATGAAGACTGAATCGCCTGTTGTGAAGACTGAATAGCCTGTTATGAAGACTGAATAGCCTGTTATGAAGACTGAATAGCCTGTTATGAAGACTGAATCGCCTGTTATGAAGACTGAATAGCCTGTTATGAAGACTGAATAGCCTGTTATGAAGATTGAATAGCCTGTTATGAAGACTGAATAGCCTGTTATGAAGACTGAATAGCCTGTTATGAAGACTGAATAGCCTGTTATGAAGACTGAATAGCCTGTTTCGCTTGTGCAGGTTATTTAGAAATACCAAATACTGTCAATATGATGTCCCTACCACTGCAAATGTTACCTTCAGTTGTTCAGAAATGTCTTCAGGCATCATTATGGATTCATGTGTTCTACCTCAGACATATAGTGTACACTGTATACTCCCCCCCCACTGGGATGAATGTAGTCTTGCATTGCTTATGCTCTCCTCTGCCTCAAGCCACCCACCTGGACCTGCCAGCTCACAGATGCCCATATGCAAGTTCTTGTACACAATGGAGCATCCAGGGCTGTTCTCCCTGCAGCCTTTTATTCGCCCTGTAACTTTTGTTTGCTCGTTTCTCTTCTGCAGCTCTGAGGTCACTGAGGAGCCACAATCCACAAGCACCACCCAGGAAGGTGTGTGTGTGCTGCTCACTTAAAAGGAATTGGGCTTAATTGATAGCACCATTCCTGTCTTTTATGATCAAGTTATATATGTGCAATATTAAAACTATTTGCTTAATGATTCCATGTTCTATGTACCTTTCTCATCTGCTTATTTTTGCCACTTGCAGATGAAAACATACAAGTGGCCGTGGCTGTCACCAAAGAGATCAGCACAGAAGCTACCTCAGGAGCTGGACCGGGGGGAGCCCCAGATGACACCTTGGGGTTCTCCGTGGAAAGTGGTGGGGTGGTTACACAAGATGTCATACCAAATGTTCTTCTGGAACTTGGCATTGAAATTACACCAAATGGAACTCGAACCAGCTCCGAGATGCCTGTTAGGGTCGTCTCCCAAAGTAGTCTGGCCATCTCCTCTAAGGTTATTCCTGAAGTCACCATGGAGGTTTCTCCAGAAGTCATCCCAGAAAAAACTGTAGGGGTGACCCAAAAAGTCTTTTCTGAGGTTCCTGCGATGAACACCCAAAAGGATGTCACATCTGAAGGAACATGGGAAGCCATTGTGATGCAGAACGTCACTACTGAGGCCACACAGAATGCTGTGGCTGCAGTGAAGTTTGGGGCTGTTATCGCAACTCCAGGAATGACTGTCAAATATGCGACTGCCGGTCTCGAAAGTGTTATAGAGGATGAAAATACGGTAAGGGGTTTGGGAAATATGGATATAAATATCATCAGTCTTATCCCTCACTGAAAATAGTTAAAAGGCTGATTTTAAGTGACAAAGAAAAAATGGGAGTAGCACACAGATGTGAATAACCCTATTGAGTAGTAGCTTACATGCATCATATCTCCGTTTGTGCGAGTGTGGTGCATCCGCTTTGTGTTCAGATCACCAATGAGATTGACGGCATCGCCGGCAAGCCAGTGCAGCACCAAACAGAGCAGCTGCTGGAGCTCAGCGTCCAGCTGAAGGGGGGGAATTACGACGATGCTCTGAGAGATCCTTCAAGCTCCGCGTACCACCTCCTGGGCCAGCAGTTTGCTGAGAAGGTGGGACACTGGCTGCCATCTTCTCAGCTATAGTTTAATGATCACTTGTCATCACTTGCTCTTTCCACACTCCATTACCTTGCCTCTCTTCCTCCTCCTCATCCACTTTTCCAAGCGTATCGCATACTCACTTCTCTCGTAAGGTCTTAAGCATATTATTACCATTTTCCCCATGGTTTTGCCAAGCAAGGACCAGGCTGGATATATTTGTTTTTCCATTACATTCAGGACCTAGGACTGGAGCTTTGACTGTAAGGTTATGACAGTTTAAAAAAAACCCTGCCCTCCTTATCATTATTTGTTATTGCAATTCTAATCTTATTGGGTAGCATTTACATACTGTAACAAAGAGAGGGGTAGATAAACATCAGCTAGCATCCATCCATCTTCTAGCTGCTTACCTGGTTTTCAGTCGCGGGGGGGGGGGGGGGTGGTGCCTGGAGACTATCCCAAGTAAAAGGCTGGGATGCCAGTCTACTGTAGAACACACACAGTCTAAGTATAGTCTAAGTCAGGGTTTCTCAACCCGGCCTCCTTCCCTGCCAATTGGGAGAGAGCAAAAACGTGGACCGTCTGGTGGTCCCCGAGGACTGGGTTGAGAAACCTTGGTCTAAGTCAATGTCTTTGGGGAACCAGAGGAAACCATCTTGACAAAAGGAGAATATGCCAGCTTCATATATACAGAGAGGAGGTGTGGGGGTTTGAGGCAATGGTACCACCCACATAACCATCGGGCCGCCCTTCTCCACTAGCACAGTGTTTCCCCAGCTCCCGGTACCAAAAATGTGGGCTGTCTGTGGGTCCCTGAGGACTGGATTGGGAAACACTGCACTAGCAGTATTAGTTAGAAGTAGCCTAACTAGTGTGTTTCATTGGCTTACAAGACATTGGCTTCTCTCACAGCTTATATAGAACACAAAACACTATTTTATTTCTGACAACTCTAGGTCCCATAGAACAAATCTGTCAAAACAGTAAGAAATGATGGGATTTATGAACTCAATACTCTGTATTTTGCATTTACAATATTTACTGAAAACAGCTGTTCTGCACAGGCACATTTATAAAAAGCAGCCTGAAAAACAACATTGCTGCCCTTGATATTATAACTAACACCAAGTGAGACAGTAAGATGGCTTTGCAGGGAGGTTGCCTGATTCCTGGGATATCACTGGGCTGAAATTTGATGGTAGCATGAAATGGTAAATGGTAGTAATGGAAAAACAAACCTTTGCAGTATATTATTGTACAGGTCAACAATGCAAAAACAACATCACTCACAGAAGTTAAACAGTCAGTTGTAATGCAGGCAGATTGTTTTGAACGTTGTATGTGCTATTATCCACAAATCACAGAGAGCAATGAATCACCGTCCTTTTAAGTCTGAGGACAGTGGGCTGGAGACTTTGCTGGACAAGGGCCTCCATTTCTGGCAGCTGCACATCCCAAGGTTTTCCCGGGAACGGTCTGAATGCAGCTTTATGTAAGAAACACACAGACATCTGGAGCGCTAGGCCAGGAAACAGTGCCGGTGTGAGTCAGCCGTCCCCGTAGGAACGGCAGGAGGACTCCCGGCCCGATCCAGTCACATGTACGATGGCAAGACCAGACCGCAGGAGGTCCCCCTATTTTCTGACCCTAGCACAGATGGGCTGACAGCTGCTGAAAAACAAGAATCACTCAAGGATGCCGAAGCCTGCTAGGCTAAGTGCTCATATTCCACATGGCGTGTGGACAGTCAGGGCCACGAAACAGGCACTTAATAAAACAGAAGGACACATATTTGCCAAAAATAAAACTAATGAGTTCTTGGACGTCTCACTTTTCCTTCTCATTTTTTTCCTCTTCATATTGTAGATTGAAGATGCTTTTGAAACACTGCCTGGTTTTAAGGAAGCCTACATACTTGAATTCAGGTAAGTCCTGTGCTGGGACAACTGTTCAAAATATGTAGCCAAAACTTACATAAAATCACGAACGGAAGTATGTGTACAGGAGTTTTATTTCAGAATTAATTTAATTAATTTAAGGTGTTCAAATAAATGCATTTTATTTTTTATTTGATACAGGAAACAGAAGAATTACAGAGGGTGAGCATCTAATACCTACATCTGTTTGGGCTGATTTCAGTCTCTGCTGGACTTTGCTTAATGGGAACATGGCCTGCTTTTGTGCAGTCTAATAATTGCCACACACGTTGCCTCTGTTCCCAGAAGGTCTTGTTTTGAAATCTGAAATGGGCTTGTTAATCTGGATATGCACTGTTGGGTGCTCAGTTTACATTTGCTAGTCACTGTGCTGGACCAGATGAGTTACCCACAAGTCACGTCACAGATTTCCAGTAATGCTGATACTATAGGCAACCTCATATTCTAGTTTCCTGTCAGTCACAATTTAGCATACGAGTCACATGATTAGTGATGATGCTCTCCCTTCCTGTCAATCAGCATTGAGCATGCAGATCACATGATCCGTGATGATGCTCCCCCTTCCTGTCAATCACCATCGAACATACAGGTCACATGATCAGTGATGATGCTCCCGTTTCCTGTCAGTGACCTCACCACACTCATACATGCATGGGGCAGAGGCTGGAAGATCTTATCTGTTTTCTATCCTGTCCAGCGCTGCTGCTGCCAAGTCCCTCCAGCGTGTATCCTGTATAATCGTGGGCCCTCCAGGCACACGCCACCGCGAACGCGTTTGTGAGCTCAGTGGTCTTTGTACACCACCTGTGCTTTCAACTTCATATATATATAGGAGTGTAAAGCTGCCTCAGAAAATATTCTGCTCTGCCTGGTCTTTTGTGGTGGCTGGCTTTAATAAAACACGTGAGAGAAAGGCAGAACTCATCTGACCGTACTATCATGAAGGTGTTTAGCGTTAATACAGTTTATTTCGATGGTCAGATGGTAATGTCCTTTTGGGATGTGGTTTAGATGGGCTCTTCTACGTGGCTGTTGTGCAGGAGAGACGCTGTGGTGGCCCACTATGCCATCACCCTGGATGCCAGCTCTGGGGGCATCAGCCACGAGACCACAGACTACATCGACCTACTATCAAATTCGGTGGAGGAGTCGTACCCTAAGCCGGATGAGCACCCCGCTGTGTTCCACACTGTGATGGATTTCCTCAACTACGTTGCAGAGGCTCTGCACAAGGAGAACCTAATTGGAAACAGTGTTCTGGATGTGGATGTGTCCTCGCTGCAGCTGGAGAGTGGTACGGACCCGTCTGTCTAGAACACATGCTGTGTAGAGATCAGTGCTAGCAACGGCTAAGGGTGGAAGGTGAATGTAATGGACGGCATATAAACTACTCAAATTTACCTTTAGAAACTGGCCTAGTAAAATTTTTGTGGAGGAGAGATTAAGTATTTGTCCAGTATTGTAGTTCACTGGCCAGTTTTTAATCTGGATAATTCCAGTAAAAATAAGCCAAGAAAGCAGGATATTTACGTAATGAGTGCTGTGGTATATGAACCGTTACTGATTTTTTAAATTTAGTTTTATTTTTCTATTTGCTACTTTTTCAGCTATGTGCTGTTGAGACAAGGTCACTCAGAGAACCGTACAGCTCAGCTACCTATTACTAATTAACAGAAACAACAACAAAAACGTTAATTAAATTTGCTAATTCGATAGTAAATAAATTGCATTTAGTAGGATTATGAGTGTCAGAGCAACAACTGGGTCTTCATGAATAGATGTTTTGGGATTTGTATGTAGATTTAGCCCCATAAACACCTAGTAATATCAAAATGACTGAAATGATCTTACTTTATACCTCTAGATCTGTGCATGTTCTAAAGGATGTTAGGATTTTAGCTAAAACACTATTTTTTTATTGAAAGGATATAAGGAGAATCTAGTTGTGTGTTTTGCTTTGGTACTGAGGTGTAAAATTTATTTCTCTGTACTTTATCTTAAAACAATAAATGCACACAATTTAACAGTCAAGTACACAGACACACATATATTAAGTGACATGCATTTACTCCAAATTCAGTGTTCTCAAAAGTGTTATCAAAAGAAAGAAAAATAAAAATGTCTTTATGTATTTGTTCATTAGCTTCATGTTGCACTCAAATTACAAGAGAAATTCTGTAATTTTACTCAGGCCTTTGGAAGAAAAACAGCTGCACAATCTCACAGATCCAATGCCACGCTTCACAAGTAGGGATTAGGTTCCTTCTTCACGACCTTCACTTATTTTATGCCAAACCCACCTCTTGCAAAAGAGTGCAATTTTGTTTCATCTGACCACAAAACCCGCTTCCAATCAAAATTCCAGTCATGTTCGGCAAACTCCTGACACTTGTGTTTGTTGTTTGACGTCACCGGAGCATTTTGGCAAGTTGGCCAGATAGTTTGTAGGGTTGGAGGTGGCGTCTAATTGTAGTTTTAGAGACTTGGTAACCTTAGTATGCAATTGTCCAATTGTGATCCTTGTAAAAGATTTCCCTCTCGAACTGTCTTCTTCACTTTGTGTCAGAGACAGTTAGACTGTGTTTGCCCTTGGGCAGATTCATGACTGCTGTTTGAAAACTTCAAATTATTGCTCTAATAGCTATTTTTTTTGTCATTGCCTGATTTATGTAGGTCAGTTTCCTGTTATTTGATTTATGTATCCTCTGTTCTTTTTCATGTTGATGTTTGTCAACTCGTGTTTATGCCTTGGTGGAACAGGAAGTCATGCATCACCACTGCAGAGTTAAAAAAAAATTAAAGTTACAATTTCAATGTGAACATATGGTAATTATATTTCATTCATAAGAAAGTTCCAATTATTGTGACATGAAAAAATGAAAAAAGGTTCAAGATTTACCTCACTGAAAAGCTAGATTTCTCTCATAAATTGAATGGAAGATCAAACTAATAAACAATAGAGACTTTTTTTTTTGCTCATTTTCATCTAAGGTGCCAATAATTTGGGAGGGAACTGTATTCAGCATGCTTGCTTCCTTACCTTTTCAGCTAGAACCTAACTCATGTTCCACCGGAATCTTAGCACAGAGATTCGTTAACACGTTTATATAAGTAGAGTATGTCATTAAAGACATTCATCCATTATATCAATGCTAATGATATGAATTGTATCTGGTGTGTGAAACATGTTGCTTAATGACATGTCCCTGTATCTGATCTCCTTTCACTCTTCTTTACAGTTAGAACTGTGTTCTCTGGTGCATCTAGACCAACTGGTGGACCACTCAGTTCCAATGACTTCATGGTGAGAGATGGGGCCTCCCCAGCCAACATTGTTCCACCTTGATATGTTGCGGTAGTTGCAAAACCAAAGGCCTTTCTGTGTTGTGTTGCTTCATCCAGAAATAGCCATTAAAAACATGACTGTCGAAAAAAAATGTTACTTCATATTTTACATTCAAAAATGCAATGGATGCATATTTGATCATATTGCAGTTGGTTTCATTGAATAGCTTGTCCTATAATAATTAGTATTATATTGTATTATTATTCTGTATTGTATTATTATTTTTCCAACTTACCTGCAAATATGACTTAAAGACAGACTGGATCTCGTTCGTAACCTGGGGACCGTGTGCATATACACTGTATTGAATTCATGTAAAGTTAATCACACATGAACTAGCATTATGCAGCGTAGAATATATTTGTGTATTTGTGTGTTGAAGCTGACCTTTACAAATACATATGGCGGAATTTTACACCTGTAGGTCAATGTTCTTTGTTGACATCAATGTGCTATTTCGTATTTACTTGCATTTGATTAAAGGTAACTTTACTTCATTCAGGTAGAGAAAAGAAATGCCTAGCTAAACCAGCTCTGTGATACCTTTCCTTGTATAAAAAGCTTCTGCATTAAAAATTTTTCAAAAATGCACCTGTCACAACCTGTCATAATCATTTGTAGCAAAGCTGTGTGCCTTTCACACCATTCATTACAGTTACAGCATTGTGGTTTCTGTTGGTAAACAGCAAACATTCCCTTAATATCCATCCTTTGTGGAAAAACACTGGCCTCCAATTGTATGCTTGTTCCTGGCCCTTGATATCAGTCAGCTCTCGAATGCATGACTGCAATTCAGCATGTAAAGGTTTAAAAATGCAACGGCTTTGAAAATATGCTTGCGGTGCATGTGCAAATGAAATTTTTTACAAATTTATGTCATGCATATAAATACAGCCAGGTAAAAGATTTAATACTGTGGAAACACATGCACAACACAAAAACACAATATTATGGAGATTAAATATTAAATTATTATTTTGTAGAGTTACACAGCTGTGCATCCATAACAACATCTTCCTCTTTGGTGTCCCAGGACTTGGTACTTACAGCTGAGAAGCCCAGGCAGGAGGTCAGCAGCAGCAATGTACTTGTCAGTGGTTTCGGAAAGGATTCCTTCCTTTTTGACCACATGGACTTTTCTGACATAAAGACGGGCTCCCATGCTCTGGACTCCAGGACAAATGAAGTCATTGTCTCGGAGGAGAGCCCCACTCAGCTCCCTCGACATTTTTCTGATAAGCCGTTTGACTTGAAAGCAGGCTACATCAGTTCTGTATAAGATGCTAACAGTGAGTAGCTCTTGGTCTGTGCAATAAATGAAGCATCAACACAAACACATTCAACACACTACTATGTATTGATGAAAAAATGTGACTTGACCACTTTATAAAACTAAAAGGGACTTCACATAATATTCAGTATTTCCTATGCTGTAATTTTTTTTGGAGGGAAGGATACTTATATAGTCCTTTTTTTGGAAAAAAAAGTACTATAGATGTTTTTTTTGCAAAAGCAACATGAAACTGAAATTTCACTTAGAGACATCATGGCGAAATATTACGAAAAACTCAGCTCATGATACATGAAATATATTTTTATGTGCATGTTTAGCTAACATAAATATTTGGGTGAAATTCCATTATGACTTCATAATTATGTAACTGGACGGTCCACTATGTTTCTACAGAAGCTAAAAGACACCGTAACTTATAATCACAATGTCTGGATGCTGTTTTTAGAAAGAGGTGGTATTGAAGAAGAGGGAGTCCTTTCCGGCCCGACAGAGATCAGCACCCATGGCTCTATGACCACTAAAGCGGAACCTGAAGTTGTCGCTACCGTTGATTCCCCCGTTCCGCCGATGGTGTCTCCTCGTATGAAAAGCAGCAGCACACAGAAAAGCACACTGGACACTGGCTCTAGATCAGACTCCTCTGAAGGTGAACGTAATACCAGCTCATGGTTTTCCATGACTGTCAGTGTGGAACTCGAGGACTCCAGAGAGCTTATTGTGAACAATAATTCATCACCTGAGCATAACAGAGAGTCAATAGAGGAGAAAGGAATCTTCATGGAATCTCCAGAAGTTTTTGACAGTGGGATGTCTGCCTCAAAGGGAAATTTTGAGTCCACAATGCAAACAGTTGTTATAATTGAAGAGCCTGATCAAGACAAGACAGCAGGCCACACATTTCTGGGTGAAATCCAGGTGAGCCAAACAGTTACCACTCAGTTTGACTTCATGGGCACCAATCGGTCTCCAGTGGCCCAGACTTCAGAAACATCAGCAATGGGGCCCTCCATGCAGTCTGTAGAAGCCTCTGGTATGTACTCTGCCATCCATCACCAGCGTGCCAACATATGCCGGCTTAGTTTTCACAAATGTAGTCGGCATAGAAAATTCATTTGATGACCCAGAAAGCTTTTTGAGGACAGAGTCCTTATTCCCTGCCAGCTGTACCCCATCTAAGTCCAGTGAGAGTGGACACATCCATGGTCTTCCAGAGGCTGTAGCTGAAGATGAAGTCCATCTGGTGATGACAAACAGGCAGCCGGGCATAGACGTCCTGAACGTTCCATTGTCCACTCCATTTTCCCTGGAAAGGGAGTCTCCTTTCAGACAAGTGTCTGAAGAATCTGGCGAATTCCCTCTTGAGGGATCAGCCCATTTACTTTCATTCCCAAAGCTGTTTACTGCATCTCCATATTTACCAGACAAGAAAACTAAGATTTCTTTTTTTGGCGATATCGCTAGTTTCGAAAGTGATTACCACTTCTCTCCTGATGATCTGCTGGACGGCATTCCTGAAGCCCCAGAAGACGAGCTCCTTGGGAGACATGCCTTGCTAGAAACACATCTACTCACCACCAGCATGTATAATACTAATATAAATCCATTTTATCAACCAACACTCAGATCTAACACTGAATTGCTAGACAATGAAGAACTCATTGCTGTTCATCTCATCCTGGAGGACTTCTGTAACACAGCCTATCAGACCATGAACCTTGCCATTGATAAATCATCAAATCATCATTGGCTGTGGACTCAGGTACAAACATCTATCTATCTATCTATCTATCTATCTATCTATCTATCTATCTATCTATCTATCTGTCTCGTAGTTGGTTTGTTTGTTTGTTTATTTATTTACAGCCAATTAAAGATCATAAACCAGATGGCTTGCTTTCTAAAAGGGGAGCCTGAGATTTTCTGTACATGAAGACTATACTTGTCATGTATTCTTCATAGCAGTAATTGTCTATGGGCAGCATTATGATTTAACCATTCGATACCTTTGAAAAACCAAAAAAAAAAGACATTTTTTTTTTTTTTACTTTTTTCTAGAAGTTTAGAAATACGTGTGGATATGTTGCTTATTATTGAGTAGTAATTTTAAATACCTTCGAAATGTCATGAAACCATGAACATGCTTTTAAAGAATTTGTTATGGTGACTCTAAGTGTGAAAGCCCTAAGTATTTCAGAAATGTTCCCACATCTTCTGCCCAGATGGGACTATCCATGAAAAGGCAGCCAAGTGTTTCAGTTTGAGGTGGAGCTGGTGATGAATGATGGTTAAATTTACCGAATGAAAACATTAGCGTGGTTTCTGGATCATGTAAGTATGGAGCAGGTCTGAGTTTATCTGAGGGGAGTAAAATCCCAACTTCACCATGTCAACAGGGGGCATTTTTAATGATTATTTTCATGTCCCATGAAAGCTACAGTAATAGCTGTAACCTGTTAGATTTTGTCTTTAGCTTTTTTGAAAATACATGCAGATATCAATAGAACTGGTGCATTTTTCATGTTTAACTTACGTATTTGTTATTAATTCAATAAAAACATCTTTGGACAAAAATCTGTTCATCTTCATCGATTTGAACATAAAGATTTTTTTTCATTCTTATTTTCATGGTCTCACGGCTCAGTAAAAATAGCTCTCTGGGACACATGTTGCCCATGGACGGTTCTTTGCTCAGGTCTGCTCTACATTCTGACAAAACCGTAGACTGTGTCTATATTGTTAATGTTGATTAACTTTGTTTGGTGTTTGAAGCTCCACATGGTTTTGGGGCCAAACATTTATGTGTCTGCACCTGCTTAAACGAAGGGTTAATCACACCCGTCATCTGAAGAAAAAAAAAGTTTCTCCGGTTTCCTGTAAAAAAAAAAAACAGTTACGAAGATAATTTGCACGGAAACTGATAACCTGCTTGATCCAATGCTGCATGTCATTGATTGACAGGGGAAGAGGCAAACCCCTGCAAGTTCCAAATGTGTAATGAATTCTCCAGATGTGTGGTGAACCAGTGGTCAGGTGAGCCGGAGTTTGGATGGTCTGCCCTGCCAGAGTATCTGCGAGATACAGAAGGACTTCTGCTTCAATGACGGGAGGTGTGACATCATCCCTGGCCAGGGGGCCTTCTGCAGGTAGGCATGGGGGCCTGTTTACCTACCCTGCTTTCTCTAATCGTGGATCATTGTGGAGGAATCTCATTAGAGGAAGCATTTGTAAACCATCCATCCATCCATCTATCCATCTTTTCACTGCTTATCCTGCTAAAGGGTTTTTGGGGATTTGTTAACTAATTAAATGAAATTTTATTGCACACAAGAAAGCAAGTTGTAAAATGAAACTGTCTGGGTTTCAGGTTTGATTGGTTGTGAAAATCTGGTTTCCATTTTCCGGCGAACATATAAACTTAGGAGATTAATTAGATGCTTTAAGAGTAAATAATTCATTGATGTCCACATGTCTATAACACGTCTGAGGCAGCTGTCTGTAATACTAGCTTTTATAAACACACTGGGATCCAAGAGTCTGTGACATTTTTATATGTTAAGAAGAATGAAAGATGTCAGTACAATGTATTGATACTTGGACACGGTTGGTGTGTGTGTGACAGTATAGTGTGGACCATGCTGATGCCCCGCCCCTTTTGTCCAGGTGTCGGATGGGGGGGAGCTGGTGGTCCTGGGGTAAGCACTGTGAGCAATACATGTCAGAGCCCCTGGTGATGGGAATCGCCATCGTCTCCATGTTCGGGCTCCTGCTGGCCTCCTCCACCGTCTTTTTCTTCCTGGCTCGGACGCTGCGTCACCAGTATGAAAAGATGGAGGTGGAGGATCCCCAGAGGTGAGAACGTGTGTCACGTTCACAGGAAATACATGTTTAGAGGTTCATTCCTGCTCATGAAGACCTTTTCTTGTACCCTTGGCCACCGACTTGGCAAAATTTCTGAACAGTGACATGGAAATGAAATAATATCCATATTTTATTCCTGCTTTGTCTTCAAATAAAGTTTTTAGTGGAAAGGATTGATGAGTCTAGTGGCCTCCTGCCCTCACAGACTATCGTATGACATGAATGATGGGTAAGATGCTTACTGCAGCTGTAAGCCGCACCGTTATGTAATGTCATTTTGTCGAGCCGTCTGGGTTTGGCTTTCACGTGACTTACTACTGTTAGTATGCTCTAACTACGACCTTCTTATGAACTAAATAACTTCTAATTCTGCTGCACACCAAGTACCTTAACAGCTGTAAATTGATACATGTTAAGGTTACTGTTATGTAAAGGGAATAATAAGGGTAATGACTGACTGATCTGAAGTTTTTTCATCTGCTGGACTTTTTTCGTTGTGGCACCCTGGCAGATTGCTGGGGCACATATGTCACTTGTCTGTGTGTAGAGGTGTGTTTTCCTGCCCTTGTGTCCCCCTCTTACCATCGCTCTTTCATACTGCGGTATCCGGACTTTGTGTCACGGAGCAGTGCATTTTCTTTTCACTCGTAGGGAAAGCATGTTATCCATTGATGGGCTCATGAAGTATAACCCTGTGTATGAGAGTGACATTGGCACAGGGGGCAGCCACTACTACCAGAACTTTTATGAGCACTGTGAGGTTCCTGTTCAGGTAAGCCCACTGTCTGTGAAGTCCCTGTTCATGTAACCCCATTGGCTGTGAAGTCTCTGTTCAGGTAAGCCCGCTGTCTGTGAAGTCCCTGTTCATGTAACCCCATTGGCTGTGAAGTCTCTGTTCAGGTAAGCCCGCTGTCTGTGAAGTCCCTGT